GCATACATGACTAACGCGAATTTTGCATAAACGTTTAGTTGGCATAATGCACATTCAAGTTCATTGCGTCCGTACATGAAAACCCAGGCTGGAACGCACCAGGCAAGCCAGTGCGATCATGAGTTTTTTCACTATTTCGTGCTATAGCAAGGGATTTCAGTGACACGAGAAATGGAAGGTTGCTGGTGTACGAAAAAGATCCCGCTAGAAGATTAAATTTGAAATTTTAGTCAACCTCAGTAGAGAAGATTCCTTCAAAATTCCAGCCTATTAGCTTGTCTCATACCCATTTTGGCAATTTTTCCGCCAAAATTTTCACGTGCCTGCAAGTGGGACAACAGCAGTTTTAAGAAGCTTAATTTGAAAGCTTTTAGTTGTATATGGCTGGGAAACATTCTCCTAGATTTTCAGCTTCCTAGTCTTCTTCGTTCTCGAGTTATCAATTCCCCTGCCAAAATTTTCATGTGCTGTACGTGGGCTGTTCTAAGGACCTGAATTTGCAGTCCTTTGGTCATGCATGAGTATTGAACATTGCCTAAAGTTTCAGTCTTCTAACTTTTCTCATTCCCGAGTTGGCATTTTTCCGCCAAAAGTTTTGGGCGCTCGCACACGGGGCCCAAACGTGCGTGAAGGCTGGTACTGCGGTTCTAGGGTGGCACTTGGCCAGGGAACGGGCAAAATTTTGGCGCCAGAGATTGCTTGGTAGCAGAGTTAAAATACCCGGACAGACGAAAACACACACACACACACATACACACAGCTAGGGTCGTTGCAATACGCGTTTCGCAATTTGCATATATGCAAGAGGCTGTCTGGGTGTGTGTTCGCACTTTTTCCATCCGTTTTCAACTCGAGAACCAAAAAAGCTAGAAAGCTAAAAGTTCGGGAGTGTGCCTCGCCCCATCTGAGACCCTACAGTTCCAATATCATCATTCGCGTGCGCCTGAGTTCTGCGCACTGGCCCTCCTAAAAAATATGCAAATTTTTCGGCAGGAAAGCGATCTCAGGAACCAGATAAAGTGAGCTGAAACTTTGCAGAAGTATGCTCTGTGCATGTATGTGCTAAAGATTTCAAATTCAACTATCATGCACACTTGCACTTCGGTCATGTCAAAGCTCACAATTTGCAGTATGCAAACTCGAAAACTAGCCGCAAAAGTTAGCAGAAATTTTGTTAGGATATTTATTGTCCATCTGGGAAATCATATACCTAAATGGAGTTTCGAATTGCGCTTGGGCCATACCTTAGGACATGTAAAAATATTTCCAGCGAAGAGTCGGTTCCATTTACTGAACAAGCTACAAACCTGAAACTTTGGAGGGATATTCTATGCTCATGTGTTGTCTTAAACTATCTTGAAGACGAAATCCCTTGCACACGGGCAAAACAAATATTCAGTTTCATCACAAGCTCAAAAACGAGCGCATTTTGCGGATTTCATAATCTTTTTCTCCCGACATCCTACGCATAGTAAATTTGCAATTTTCGATGAGCCGTCCCTTATCGGAAAGTCGACCGGGCTTCATTCAAAATTGAAAATCGTGCACGCTGAAGGTTCATTCTTCCCACGATGCAAGAACCATCCTAGCCGACGCCTTTCACCCCCACATGCGGGAAAAGGTCAGACACAACTAACAACAGTCATTTTGTTAAACCACATCGCAGGAACCATTCCTGCTGTTAACAGTCTGATTACCGCAAGTTTAGCGCAGAAACGCATGATCTCACCTACACGACTGTTGCGTTGCAGCCTGGATTTGCCTTTAATGACACACAAAATACGCCAGCATTCTCATAAAATTGTCACACAAAATACGCCAGCCTCGGTACTGCTGTGAATGACCGAGCAGCAGTCTTGAACGGCAGTAAATTATTATTGTGATCTGTTGGTGAAGCTGAGACAGCCTGTTTAGTCTGCAGCAAATAACCCCGGAGTTGCTATGAAAGGCGCCGCTCGGTTGTTGGTGAAAGGCGTAAGGTCCAATGTTGGTGGAAACGTAAAGTCCAGTGTTGATGGGTTCGTATGTTCTGATATTGGTGGACGTGTAAGATCGGTTCGAAACAAGTGTTGACATTAAAAATTTGCCGGAAAAATCGGCTACTGAGCCCATGTAGAGCTCTGCTTCGCTGCAGCTGGATCCAGCTTACAAAAACAGCTGTGTACATAATGTTGGTGCCGATGATTGATAATGG